CTTCTTCTAATAATATTGAGAGCTGGTTTATTAGAAACTGGAGAAACATCAAACCATTTAGATGTCCTTCAAAAAAATAGGGTCCAATTAAATATTGGGCCCAGTATTCCACCCCACACATTAACTGACCACTTATTTTGATTTTTCATGACCCTGTATGCGCGCGGATTCGTATCAGAATAATAATGAAAGTTGTGTCTATTCACGAGACCATTGTTATGAAAAGTACATTCATCATTAAATAACACATTTTCGAAAAACTTTTCATTTTCTACCACTTATCTAACACCCACATGCAAAACTCATCAAAATTCATTCAAAATCATTTCCATCAAGTTCTTGGCAAAGCTGAATTTTATAAGGATAAAAGTTGTGCTTTTTGATAATTCTGGAAATACTTGATTGACTAATGTTAGTACTGTATGTAGAGATTTTGACTAACATTGGGATTTTTGATAACTGAACCAAATACCGTAAAAACATTTTCTTCATCTTCAGTGACAGATTTCCTTGTAATGGGTTTCTTATAATTGACACTCCCGCTTTCCTCAAAATGGTGTAATAAGGGCTTAAAAACTGTTGGCTTAGGATCATTTCTTTCAGGAAACTTTTGAGCATAACCTCGAGAAGCCAATAAACAATTTTTATGAGATTATCCAAGGGTGAAAATCATGTCAATACGCTCTTCGCTTGGACAATTCTTTATTTTCACTTAGCAACACAATAATAATATTAAAATAACGACCAACACGACTACAATTACAAAAAACAATACCACTTTAGCTATCAAAAAGAGTATGAAGGCTTTCACGGCCGGTTAAATCACATTAGGAATGTTTTCCGGGCTTTGAAGCCGTGGTCTATGGGAATTTCTTCCTGACGTTTCGGCTTCAAAGCCCGGACATATTCCTAAATGTATAAAAAGAGACTTTGCAGTCTAAACTGAAAAATAAAATAAATGATTTGACATGTGTAAATGGCATAGGCAACTTAGATCCATTGGAACCTTAAATTAAACAACACCAAATGGTGCAACTATTTGACGTATTTTGGAAAAAGGCGAAAACTTAGCTATCAACATCCTAATACCATTCGATAGGTAATTAAAAATTGCATTTCCTGGTAAGTTAAAAATATAGGGTTATATTTAAATTAATCAAGTTAGAGCCACTTAAAGTGCTTATTTGATTAGTTTAAATTTGTGGACACCCTGTATAACATGGTAAGTTCATTATCATTGGGATATAAAATATTATATCTTGTTACACTTCACTATAAATTACGCTTACATAACTTAAATACTTCTAAAGTATTTGACA